ATATATATATATATATATATATATGCAGTTTTCTTTTAGTTATGCAAAGAATTACAATTGAATTAGACCTATCCTTCTTAGCCTCTAACTGAAAGATTTTCTAATTTCCTAGTTTGTTTTTTATTTCTTGGAAACTGCACAAATAATTAGATACAATAGAAAAACATGCTGGGGCTGGGGATGTAGCTCAGTGGTAGAGCCTTTGCCTAGTAGGTTTGAGGCCCTGGTTTCCATTCCTAGCTGATTTGTTTATATTAAAATTTTGATTCTTCATTTCCAACTGGAGATTTAATGGCATATACTCAATGATTTAACATTGTAGAATTGCCTTTGCTGTATGTTTTTTGAGATAATAAAATTGTAAGGCAAAAAAATAAAAAAGACAAAGTGAAAACTGTAAAATTCAGTGCTTTCATTGTATGCTGCTTCAGTGGAGGAGCCTAACTTTGTCTTTTTTTTTTTCCTGTATTGGGCATGGAATTCAGGGCCTTGTACATGCTAGGCAATCACTGTACCATTGAACTACACCCCCATCTGTCCTCATTTTGTATACCTGAGTAGTTGGTGAAAAATCTTTTACGTATTTTCTTCGCAAATAATGAACACCCAACAAATGTTTTTGAATAAATTAATAATAAAGTGAATACCACGAAATATGCGGATTTTGCCCACTTTCCCCTCTAAGTAAAAACAACTTAACTCTGAGAATAGTATTGATTCATTCAGTAGAACTAGATCACAGAAAGAGAAAATACAGACTTAACACTCACATTTTCATTAGTGGCAGTTACTTTGAGTGAAACAAAGTTTGACTTGTGCTTGAGTGGTGTCTTTGAGAGGAGAATACCACTAAAAAGCAATAATGAGGGATAAGGGTAAAAAGCCACAGTCAGGGAAGGAGATGGCCTTGGAGATGGATTTTTATTGTGCTCAAGAATTCCAGTGGTCATGGCTGGAGGGTAGCTCAGTGGTGGAGTGCTGGACTCGCCTGTACAAAGCTGTGGGTTTGATTCTCAGTACTATCAAAAATAAAAAGAATATAAAAAATCCAGTCATCAGTCCAGTATTCTTCCACACCCCCACCCTTAGCTCCTGTAGCTGGCTTGGTCACATCACCTGCCACTTTTCATTGTAACCATATACCTATCTGCTTCCCGTGATAGCTGGTTGAGTCAAGAGCTGTGGTTTTATTTGTCGGATTGACTCTGATGTGGTTTGAGGGCTTTGTTCTGCTCTACCCTTCCATTTGTGCATGGCATCAGTCTGGGCAAGGCCCTGCTCTTGGGTTTTTTTTTTTTGTGTGTGTGTTTTATTATGTGTTTATTTCCTTTTATACCCACACTTTCTTTTCCATTCTTATTTCTCTCTGGGTCATCATTTTGAGGTATTTAGTATGTATCATTTTGTTTTAGATGTTTCTGCAACATACACATTGATTTTTATGTAAATGTGTATTTTGAAGTTGTGTAATCTGAGATTGTACATAATTTCTTTTATTTTTGAATACAGTGTATTTAAGGCACCCCCAGGTCACCAGATAGGCATCTGATTTGTTCCTAACTGCTGCCCAGCACTCCGTGGGATGGGGCCACCACATGTCCCCTCTGCACTCTAGAAGCCTCCTATAGTTTTATACCCCACTCTTTCCTAATGGGTTGTTTATAAATGTTTGCTGATGAGTGAATAAGTGACTGTGTGAGTGAATAAGTGACTGTGTGAGTGAGTGGGTTTTGATAATACTTAGAAGGGAAGAAAACCCAGGCAGAAGGGGCAGAGAAAGCCACCGCTTTGCGTGTTTAGAGAAACAAGCTGTCAGGGTTTGTGTGACTCATGTGTGCATGCAGGGAGGGGTGGGAAGGCTGAGGAAGGAAGAGGTGTGCCTGGATTGTGAAGGGAGTGACCAAGGGCAGATATCAGGAGATACGGTATTCTAGTGTGAACATGTGGCTAGGGCTAGGGAGAAAAATCATCTATGAATCTGTGGAAAGTGTGATTGTAATGTCAGAGAAACACAAGGCCATACAACATTTCAAATGGTAGTCCTTGATTATGACCATCCCTGCTTAGAGGAGGGCTTTTAATATTTCAGTATTTTCCCATATAACTTAATATAGATTTATCTAAACCTTTCTCCTTCTTGTGCCTTCTTTTCCTATAGCCTTTGAATGAATTATATTCCTCATCAGCAAGTAGCTGATGATATTTGGGACTAAGATGTTTACCCATTGATAAAAATTGTCTTTTTTTAATATTTATTTTTTTAGTTGTAGTTGGACACAACACCTTTATTTTATTTATTTACTTTTATTTGGTATTGAGGATTGAACCCAGGGCCTCACATATGCTAGGCAAGCGCTCTACCGCTGAGCCACAACCCCAGCCCCTCCCATAAAGATTTGTCTTGACTAACAAATGACATTTATCAGTCTTGGCTTTCACAGGCATTTTGAAGAATTAAACGTACTCTAGGTGAAGAAATACGTTAGAAAAGTTCTGCTGAAGGACATCTTCCTTTATTTTCAGATTAACTCGTGGAAAACAAACCTGAACGATGCCTTGCCCTGGCCCCTCTGTGAAATTGAAGCATGGCTTCAGGAGGTCCAGGAGCTCATGGAGGAAGAGTTACCAACCTCGCAGAATTACTCCGAAGCCATGGCTCAGACAGAAGAGAAAATGACTTTATTCAAGGTTAGAAAAGCAAAAGAAAAATGCAGAAAAATTAACACTATGTTAGGTTCTTGAGGAAGATTCTGTCCTAGAAGATTCTGTCCAAGAGCAGCTAATGGGTGATTGAGCACCATGTGGAGTGATTCCCTAGGGTTTCAGGGATCCAGAAGATGCTTTTATGTTCGTGACCATGGGCTTGTTCAATAAGAATTCAGTATAAGGAGTTCTACAGAAACTGTAAGGTCTGAGGGGGGAAAAAGGCTATGGACAGAAGAAGACTTATTTAAAATGAGGAAGATTAGGCTGTTACTAAAATGGCATGAAATTTGATGTGTGAGATTAATAATTGTATTTGAGCTCCCGAAGGAATGGAAAACACACCAGACAAGAAAAAAAAAAAAATTGATCATGGTTTTACCAAAGAAATGGCAGTCTGCTTCTCTTGCGAAATGTTGTAATTTAAAACTTTTATGTTAAAAATATGTACTCACAAAATCTTGGATAAAATGAAAGGGACTTTATGACCTTTTTGAAAAAAGACATACCGTGAGTGAGAGGAACGGCACCCATTACAGGGTTTGGCAGTAAGTCTAGTTCATGTCATGCTAAATTTCTTTTCAGAGTCTGATGGACAGATCTGACTACCATTCGAGTATTCTCATGGCTTTTGAAAATAAAGACGAAGAACATTTGCCATTGGTGCCCCTTAACACCCTGGAGGAGATGAAGAGACGGTTCGTAGCACTACCATTGCATAACTGCTGGGACTGTTCAAGGGGGAGACATAGCATGATGCCATGGGACCACAGGAATGTAGATATTTAGATAATTTTGACAAGTGTTCTCTTTAAATCTTTTTTTTTAACATTTATTTTTTAGCTGTAGTTGGACACAATACCTTTAATTAATTAATTTATTTTTATGTGGTGCTGAGGATCGAATCCAGGGCCTCGCACGTGCTAGGCGAGCACTCTACCACTGAGCCACAACCCAAGCCCCTCTCTTTAAATCTTGATAACAGTGCCTTCAACTTTTTGTAATAGTCACATTCTATCACGCTAATATCCTTTTTATTGAATGGTAGAATACTCCGGTGTAAGCTGTGTGTTTTTGGAGCTTGCCTTCTGGTTCGTAAATACAGGATAGTGATAATCTCCCTGTCCATGTCTCATGAGGATATGGATCAAGGGAAGAAGTATGGGAAAGCACTTTATAAACTGCACAACCCTGTTGATATGGAGATTATTTAATGGGTGGTTGTATCCATCGTCTTCTCTTTTCTCATTACTCATAAGCAATTTATTAGAACGAGAGAGTGTTAGCCTTGGTAATGAAAGCTGTTTTAATATGTAAACTTTTAAATTATAAAGAAGTTTTCAAATTTAGTAAGATTTTTTTGTAGATCAACATTTCATTATAGGATTTCTCAATGAAGAATAATCTCTTCAGAAAATGTTCTAGTAGTTGTATGTATGTATTTATTGATTTATTGATTTATAGCTCAAAAAGGTTTATTTCCTATCTTGCTGTAATATTTGTTTTACATTAAAAATCAAAAAAATTAAAACTTTAGAATACATGTGAATTCCATGTGTTTATAAAAGAAGGTTTGCCCAGCACGGAGGTACATGCCTGTGATCTCAGCTCAGGAGGCTGAGGTAGGAGGATTGAGAGTTCAAAGCCAGTCTGTGCAAAAGTGAGGCACTAAGCAACTCAGTGAGACCCTGTCTCTAAATAAAATACAAAATAGGGCTGGGGATGTGGCTCAGTGGTCGAGTGCCCCTGAGTTCAATCCCCGATACCAATAAATGAATGAATGAATGAAGGTTAAGGCCTCAGTGTTTTTTTAAAATGCCAATATGGGTTTCTCACATTTTGTCAATAATATTAAGTTAAAAAATGTACAATTTTTTTTCAGAGTGAACAACACTTTAGGGAACAATTTCACTCTACTTCTAGAATTTCACTACTATAAGTGCTCAGTTCTTGGCTTGCTAGATGAAGTGAAACCAAAATTGGATTTTTGGAACATAAAATTTGGGAAGAAAGAATCTGTGGAATTATTGCTGGAAGACTGGCATGTAAGCTGCTTTATTCTGTCTTGGGCAACTGTTTTCCATGGCTGGGTGCTGAGTTTGCATTTTTCGTTGGCTTAATTTCCCATTAACTGTGAAGATTTGGGACAAGGTTCTGTTGGTTGCTCATGTTAGCTTTGATATCGCCTGGAGAAAAGAATTGTAGGTAGTCAAATAACAGGCTTGGGGAGGGAAAGAAACAGAAAACAGCGTCATTTATAAGATTGAGTTAACCAGGACAATTAACCTACCAGGTTTCAGTGTTTTTTTCCACTCAAAACACCTTCATTCATTGACTTGAAATTTCGTTTTATGTTTTTTCTTTCCCAATTCATGTTGCCATTCAACAATTAAATTTTCCTTAGAATATTTTAGTCTTAGCATTTCAAGTTCTAATAGTAGGAAAAAACCATACATTTTCAGTTTTGTCTTGGGGTACTTTTCTTGTGGCTTTAGCTCTTCCAGTTTATAGGGGAAACTGTTTCAAGTGATTTAAACATTAGTATGTCCATGAAGCATCATAGAACTGTCACCTCTACAGTTGGTCCTTATCTTTCTTTCTGTTTCCATTTTTGGAAAGGAGGCAGGAAGAAAAGAAAAATCCAAGATTATAAATTTCAATGCAAAAATTGATGAGAAATTTATTTAAAAATTTTAATTGAAACACTTTGTTCCCAAACAAGAAGCATCATTCTCAATTAGACTAGATTTTTAATATCGTACCTTTTTAGTCTTCAAATTTTCATTTTTTTTTTCTATTTAAGTAGTCATAGTACCTCACTGGCACAATAAATACTCAGTATTTTTCCAAGGCAGAATTTAGTTAATGATCATTTCTCAAATGTTTCTTGTGTGTTGGATGAGAATATATCTGTAACAAATGCCAATATATCTAATAAAAACTTACTCAACCTTAATAAAACATATGAAATAAGAGCAATTGTTGCAATTATGCAGTATTAATAAAGTATTAGAAGCAGGAGACTTTGGAATTACTGTAAATAATTAGCTTGCCTTTTCCCATAGGAGGAAAACCATTGTAGAACATATCACCCCAGTTAAGATAAATGTCCTCAGGGGTCATATTGTCATACTTACGGGTCATACTTAGGCCTCCTAGATCTCACCTGTCCTTCTTCATGAACTGCCCTTCATCTTCAATTGCAATATGTAGTATTAAAGTATGATAGAAATCTTAACAACTATGTGTTCTGTCAACATTAACAATTTCTTAGCAAATTTTTAAAAGTAAAAACTATCAATATGTGTTTTTTTCCCCCAGAATTTTATTGAAGAAAAAGAGTTCATAGCTCAACTTGATACTGCTTTTCAAAAATGTGAAGAAATTTATAAAAATTTAGGTAAAGTAGTTCAGTTACTTTTTAATGAAATATTCACCACTTAAATATATCACATTTCATATTTGCTTTCTTTATTCTTTAATGAATTGGAAATTAGTTTTAAATGCATGATTTCTTTGGAAAATTCTTACTTTCACTTTTAGTATTGTTAGAGAACAATACTCTCAATTGATGTGTAGATAGTTTTCTGAAGAGTATTATTAACAAAAATGCTGTTTTCTAAGATTATTTTCTTGTTTTGGTAATATTGTAGCTGGAGAATGTGAAAGTATTAATGAACAATATATGGTGGTGGAAAGTAATATTTCTATGTACAGAAAAAATATATATAATGTGAAGTCCACTCTCGAAAAAGTTCTGGCCTGTTGGGCTACTTATGAGGAGAACCTTCGCTTACTGAAGGCTGGTTTTGAGGAGACAAAGAAACAAGTTAAAGAGGTATTTGCAGTCTAATGACATCTTCTTTACTTTTTAAGTTTTATTTAGGGACTCTTGTTTTTAATCCAACGACGAGAATCTAGAGAAGAGTAAACATCTCTTCTTTGTCTTTTGGAAAATTCTCTAAGGTCTTGGAAAGAGTTTAGTTTATTCCTAATATAATGATCAAAAGGATGCTTTATCCACATTATAGATTTTACACACATGTGCACATATGTGTGTAAAACCTATAATGCACAGCTTTGTTAGGGTAAAACTTATATACATGGTATGCTTTAGGAGACATTACTAAGCATTTATGTAAAGAAGAAAATGCTTGCAGTACCAGATGGTTTATAGACACATTTAAACTAAAATATGGTTTTTAAAGTTATACTTTTTGATCTGGTTGAAAGCTTTACCTCTAAAATTTTTCCAAGTTTCTAGAGGAGAACAATCAAAAGGCTGATGGGGAGAGGTGTGGAAGAAATGTGAATGTAATTTATTATTGCTTTCACTTGCTAATCCTGTAATGACTTCCTTTATGACTATCTGAGGTAGTTTTTTCTTTCTTTAATCTGTGCTCCTCTGTTGTAAATGGAACTAGATAGCCATTCAGATGAAACATTTTCCAATTGGAAACCGAAATACTTAATGGGAAATAGGCTATTTGTTTGGAGTTAAAATTTGTGTTAAGTGTATGAGTGCAAAAAAAAGAGCACTCTAGGGGTTTGTGAGCCACCACTCCCTGTCACTCACATCGGTACTAGAAGTTTGGATCTTTGGCTTCTAACAGTTGCTCTGTTTTTAAAGATCCTCTATTAAAAATGTACATAACTCTGAGAAAAATAGCACTCATGAGCCTGAAATTCCCAAGCTCTGATAAGATGCCCTGGGCTGCAAAAGAGATCTTACAGGACACTTTACATTTTGAGGGAGATTTGACAGCATCTATCTCTTGGACACCAGGCTACTTCTAAGTTGTTGGACCTGACAACTTAAAAATGGGAACTATTAAGTAATTCCTTGGCCTAGAGATTCTATGAAAAAAAAAAAAATCACTGAAACCTAGAGGGCTTCGTGAATTGAATGAGTTTGGTAACCTCTGCTGTAAGCTCATCAGCCACTCAGAAAATTAGAGCAGATGCTTCCTAAAGGCCCAGGCCCAGAAGGGAAAACAGGTGCCTGTACCTGCCAAATAGCAATTAGACACAAAGAGCTGGAGCAACAGGACTGAGTGAATTCCCTGTGGGGAATTCACATTAGCCCTGGTAAAGATTTATTATAGATGATAGAAAGACAAGTGTTGTACCATTGGATATGTATGTGGCTTATGTGTTATTGCAGGTTCCCTTTGAGACACTTGCCCAGTGGAATGTAGAACATACCACTTTAAACCAAGTGGGAAGTTTCTTAATTGAAGTCAGCAATGATGAAGTTGGATCATCTGTTTCTAAAGAACTGAGAAGGCTGAATAAAAGATGGAGAAAGTTTATTACAAAAACTCCACTTGTAAGTTCTTTCCTTTTTTGGGAACCTTTTTATTGAGAGATAATTCACACCACATACAAATCACTCATTTAAAGTGTGTCACTCAGTATGGTTCAGCGGGTTCACAGGGCTGTGCAGCCATCACCACGATCAGTTTCATAAAGAAACCGTGCGCCCATGAGCAATCACTCCACACTGCCAGCTAACCCTCCCAGCCTTTGGTACCCACGACACTACTTTTCTTCTATTGTCGTGGACATTTCACATAAAATGGAATCATATGGAGCGTGGTCTCTTGTGACAAGTTTATTTCTTGGTATGGTGTTTTCAGGGATCATCATTTTATAATGTGATATATCTATATGCACTTAATTTCTTTTTATTGGCAAACACCAGTCTATTATGTGGATGCATCACATTTTATTGAGGCACTCATCAGTTGATGTACATTTGAATTCTTTCTACTTTGTGAGCTGTTCCAGATAGTGTAGCTGTGAACATTTGCACATGCTTGTGTGGACACCTGTTTTCCTTTCTCTGGAGTGTACACCTAAGAGAACTTTATCTTTAACCATTCCTAAGAAATTGCTTTCTAGTGGAAATTCATTTACCATTAAAGAATAGTGTAAGCATTATGTTGCCTGTTAGATTTCAAGTTCCTCAAGAACACACTCTGGGCTTTGTTTATATTTGGTTACAGTGCCTCATAAAAGCAAAGTTACAATAAATGATCTTAATTTAAATTATTCTTTCTCTTATTTTTATATAACATGTGGGTGGTTTTCTTTTTTCCTGTTTTTCCCCCTAAGGAATTCTCATTTTATAACATTGTTGCTGATTGATAAATCCTAAAGATATATTTGACTATATTATCCCTACCTATTGTTTACAGCATATGTCAGCATACAAATAAAAATATGTGCACTAAATTTCACAGAATTACGGGCTGCAGTTGTAGCTCAGTAGTAGAGCTTTTGCCTAGCATGTGTGAGGTACTGGAGTCAATCCTCAGCACCACGTAAAAATAAATAAAATAAATGTATAAAAAATACAATAGCATTAAAATTTTTTCACAAAATTAATCTTTTATAGGAAATGAAATTGCCACTTTCAAAAAAACAGGATCAGCCCACTCTTGACAATTCTAGAAATATTCTATTACCTAAAGAAGAAGAAAAATCAACTGTTGATTTTTCAAAGAATATGTCAGTAGGACTTCCTGAAAATTATAATCGGAATATAAAGGTAACAGGATTATATACTTTGTATATTTCATTTTGCAGATAGGAATAGTTTAACTTTGCTGTTTTTCTTTTAATGACACCATATTGTTGAAACAGTGCTAAATGTATGGATTACTAGATAGTAGTTACCATGTGATCATTTTCTAGAAAATCAGGGAGGTTGTTTCCGTCATGAAGCAGTTGCTAGCATGCGAGGAATGCAGGTCTCTTAATCCTTGTGCATTTCCACAGTCATGCAGAAGCACACAGGGCTTCTTTTTTTAAAATTTTTTAAAATATTTTTTAGATGTAGACAGACACAGTACCTCTATTTATTTATTTAATTTTATTCGGTGCTTAGGATTAAAACTAGTGCCTCCCACATGCTAGGCAAGCGCTCTACCGCTGAGCTACAACCCCAGCCCCACACATGGCTTCTGAGTGGTGTAAAACTTGAGTTGAAAAATCTCCTTTGATGACTTCTGACTAGTACTCAAAAATGGTTTTAACTCCAAGGCATCCCCCAATCGCCTTGTAATCTTGCTTCCTTTCTGTAAAATGAGAGAAAGCATAATGGATCTTGTTTTGTGGATAATCTGGAGGACTGCAGATTATAGGTAAGAATATAGGAAAAAAAACAAGTAAATATATTAAAAATCATACACCTGTGGTTTTAGACATGTGCCTCTTGCAGAAGAGCTTTATACAGCTTTACCTAAGAATTTCAGTTGGCTTTGGCCAGTTGCCATGGTGGATGTTTGGGGTTTCCAACCATGAGAATGCCTAATCAGGGATTGGGGGTGTAGTTCAGCGATAGAGCCTTCAGCATGCACGAGGCCCTGGGCTCAACCCCTAGCTTCACCAAAAAATGTAAATAAATAAATAAACAAGAATGCCAGATCAGGCCTAGCATGTGAAAAGTCCTGAGTTTGATCGTCAGCACTGTAAAAAAATAAAACAAACAAAAAAGAATGTGTAATGAGAGGAAATCTGAAAAGATCTGATTTTTGTCCAATATGCTTTAAAATACCATAGTCTTCAGAGCATTTAAAATGTAACCTGATTAAAATCAACTTTGCATTGGATTTGTCCTGTAAAATTGTAACATATCAACCTATCGAATACTGAGAGAATATACATAAGAAAAAGATTTGATTGTTAAAAAATTGATTCTTAGTCTCTGGCATTTCACAACTACTGATAATAATAGCTGTGTTTAATAATTATATTGTTTATGAGTTTTAGAAACGTATTTTTGAAGCCTAATTTCCTAAACTTTAACTATCTGTAAAATAGAGATAATACTATTTAATAGGAATGATATTATAATTATAATAATGTAGGTGAAGAAACCTTTAATTTGTAAAATGATATATACTTTCATAAAGTACTATTATCATTGTCTAAACCTGTCCTTATATCATTAAAATACAATCAAATGTTACACAATAAGTGACATATCAGTCACTGATAGACCAAATACACGACAGTGGCCATACTCTGAGGCCTAGGCATGTAGGAGCTATACTAGGTTTGCCTAAGTATGTTCACTCTGTGATGTTCACACAATGACAACATCACCCACTGCTGCATTTCCCAGCATGTGTCCCCATTGTTAAGTGACCCATGACTGTTCATTGAATTAGCACTCTTCCAGAAAGGGGTATAACTCTTAAGTGGAAGGTGGTTTTATAATGCATTTATAATGACATTTTCTCAGTGATAATTTTGAATATTGTAGGCTGTGGAAGAACATGAAAAAGACCATGAAGAATCCACAGAACACCTAAAAGTGGCTGAAGAGGTTGAAAAACTCATTAGACAAGTGGAGGTGTGGGAGGCAGAAACCAAGTCCATTTTGGATCTTCCGAAACATCAAGATGTTATGGATAGTACCATAGAAAAATCTTTGCAGGTATGAGTGTAAAAGTATTAAGAGGGTGTTTTCATGGTTGGAGATTTATATGGACTTACGTTTTATATGAAATGAAAAGTTTCAAAGTAAATAATAATGAGCTTTCAAAAGTTTTATTTTTCTTTATTGGGTTTTTAACAATGCATGAATTTTAATCCCTGGATCATCTGCTCTGATTTTGTTTGAAATACCTCTGAGCTTTGGTTCTTAGATTCATTTTTCCAGGTATACAATGAGATGAAAATATTCTTTTGCCCTGGGTGTGGTGGCACACACCTGTAATCTCAGCAGCTCAGGAGGCTGAGGCAGGAGGTTTGTGAGTTCAAAGCCAGCCTCAGCAATTTAGTAAGGCCCTAAGCAACTTAGGGAGGCCCTGTCTCAAAATAATTTTTTTTTTTTTTTTTAAAAAGGGCTGGAGATGTGTATTAGTGGTTAGGTCCCCTGGGTTCAATCTTTGGTGTGTGTGTGTGTAAATATAATATTACATATCGATTACATTATAATACTTATGTATATAGATTCTTTCACATCAGAGGACAGTAAGGAGATGAGTGCATTCATTCCTGCATGCAGCTCAGTGCAGGAATGTAAGGCTGTATACTCAATTCTCCACTGAAAAAGCCACTTTTCCCTCATGACTTGACGTGGGAAGCGTGACGGATGGTAGAACTCCATTCCATCCTGATTCTAAAGCTTTTGAGTCATTGAAAAGCAATGAAGCAAGAGTATGTTTTAATATTACTTAGTTCTCCTGGGAAAGAAGTTATAATTGAAGTTTATTGAGTTCTAGCTCAGCTATAAAATTCATGAAGCATGTCACAAGTTGGGATAAGATAGATAGTTCCTGGAGTAAAGGAGCATTTATATTATATTCTAAGTCTCCATTTATGAAAGGTATATATTTCAACATCTGGTGTTTTATTGTTCATAAGAGTGATAGCTTTTGTTGCTTTGAAAATGCTATATATTAAAAAAAATTAAAAGAACTTATTTCAGCTGGCCATAGTGGCCCATGCCTATAATCCCAGTGACTTGGGAGGCTGAGGCAGGGGGATTTCCAGTTAAAGGCCAGCTTCAGCAATTTATTGAGACCCTATCTCAAAATAAAACATGAAAAGGGCTGACAATGTGGCTCGGTGGTAAAAATCCCCTGGATTCAATCCCCAGTACCAAAAAAACAAAAACAAAAACAAAACAAAAAAACTTATTTCCTCTGCCAGTGCTTTTCTAATTTTATTTTTTCTTCTTACTTATTTAGTCATCTGAAATTTATTCAAGTGAAAGAAAAGAGGTAGAAATTAAATATTTAAAATACATACTTAAATAAAATATTTAATATTTTAAATAAAATAAATATTCTATGAAATAAAATATTTAAAATAAATTTTATTTCAAAAATTAGTTTTAAAATATTTTCAAAGCGTAACAATGATCCCTCTTATAAACAGTGAAGATATAATCACACTGAAATATACTTAGGTGCATAAAGAATTAAGTAAATATGGGATCAAAATATTTCTTTTTTTCTTTTTTTAAGGGGGGTTACCAGGGATTGAACTCAGGGGCACGCAACCACTGAGCCACATCCCCAGCCCTATTTTGTATTTTCTTTAGAGATAGGGTCTCACTGAATTGCTTAGTGCTGCACTTTTGCCGAGGCTGGCTTTGAACTTGTCATCTTCCTGCTCGGCCTCCCGAGTCGCTGGTATTACAGGCATGTGCCACTGCACCTGGCTGTTTGATCAAAATATCTTCTAAAGTGAGAAATGGACTTGCCAAACCATGTGAATAATGGGATTTTATTTTAAACTTTTTTTTTTTTTAATTGTGATGCTGGGGGATTGAAGCCAGGGTTTCATGCATGCTAGGCAAACATTCTACCACTAAGCCACATTCCCCGACCTATTTGTGTTTTTAAAGCAAAGTTGCATTTTTATATTTTGTGGTTTTATATTCATAGAAAAATATCCATAGGATTTAAAAAATAACTCTTTTGTCTTCAACCTGCATCAAACCTAGCAGTTTTTGGGACATAATGAACATAAAAAAAAAATGTTAAAAAACAAATATCTGAATGATTAATTAAATGACAGCTAAGGGAGGGGATAGAGAGACAGGAACTTTGCTTTATTCTTCTGTTCTGTTCACTACCTTAAGATCAAGAAGATCAGCATTTACATAGTTGATATTGTGCAACATAATTTCTATTTTGTCATACCCAACACCATCCTTGAGTTGTAATTGAAAATTCTTAAGTTTCGTTAACTTGGGAGAGCTGAAAATGGTTTCTGATTATTTTATTTTGTAGTTCTTTATTGATATGTAAGATTTGATTATCTCTCATTATATTTACTAGATTTGTGATTCTTCGGATTAATTGTTCTTTTATATATTTCACAGTTTCCTGATCTGATTGTTAGTGGTTAATATGTAACATGCAATGTGAAGCTTTCTTCAATTTGTTTTAATAGCATCTTATTGCCAGAGGCTCAATGTATGAAGAGCTTCTGGCCAGAACTGAAGATACTTTACAAATGGATGTTCAGAGTATTTCAAGCCAGGCGTCCTTCCAGCACGTTCTCACAACTGGACTTCAGGCAAAGATTCAAGAAGCGAATGAGAAAGTCCAGGTCTTTCTTAATATTCCCTGATTAGTGAATTTATTCTTTAAAACCAGGTGGTCAGTAGGTAAAGGGTGGGCTGGCCCTGAAATTTGTCTAATATCTTGTAAAATATCACTTTTGCACTTTCTTTTCTTTATAATTTAAAGAGTACTGCAAAGTAGAAATATAAAAAATTAGATATTCCTATATCTAGTGGGAAAATGTAAATTGCTAATCAAAGAAAATTTTTATTAACTTACAAATTTACCAAGAAGTTGGGCCAAGTGTTAATTTGAGTGTTTTTTTTTTTTGCCTTTACAGATCACTGTGGTAAAACTAATTGCAGTGTTGAAGAACTCAACGGATATTTCACAAGAATTGGATGCCAAGCAGAAGGTAAAAGAGTCCCAGATGGAATTGGAATCTTACATTGTGAGAGCTGAACAGTTACTTGGGCAAAGACAGAGCCCCCGTGGACTCATTTCAAAATATAAGGTAGGAATCTTCTCAACCATCATTAGTAGGATATTTTATCATTAGATCATTAGCTACCTATCTCATTTGAAGTCAAGATGTTCCCTTGCTTGTAAAAAGTAAAGCTATTTTAATTTTCCTTTTTTTGTGTGTGTGTGGTTCTGGGGATCGAATCCAGGGCCTTGTGCATGCGAGGCAAGTACTATACCAACTGAGCTACATCCCCAGCCTAAAGCTATTGTAATTTTTAAATCTCCCGGTATTACATGTTGTTCCCCTGAGGCTAATAAAAAGAAGCATTCAAATGAAGAATATTTTAATTCAAATTTTATCCAAGAGTCTTTGGATGTACCAGGTGATCTAGTATAAAGAGCACAGCTGATTCTGATGTTGAGCAAGACTTTAATTTCTGTTTTGTTTTGTTCTTTTAAATTTGTAAAATGGGCATAATAATTTTAGCTCTAGACTCATTGGGAGGCTTTTAATGAAAATCAGACATATAAAGGTATTTTACACAGTTACAATTCTGTGAATACTAATATTATTAAAAGCCTTCGTTAGAAGTTATTCATGGATACATACTTACATATAAGTTAAAGACCCCATAATGCTGCTTTTTCCAGTTTGATTTTTTTCTCCCAGGTTTTGCAGGTAATGGTGACATCTAAAGATGTAACCAAACCAGAAACTTGCTATTCTTAATGCTGTGGAGGTGTTTGTGGGGGTGCAAGGAAAAACAAGGTCCTTACCTTTGGATACACTAAGGAGGTGGAGGAATACATGTTTTTTTGTTCATTCATTTATTCAGCATTGAACACACTTATTGAATACTAAAAATTGGATACTGGCATTGTGGGGGAGATGAAGATACAGTCAGGCAATAAACCCAGTCCTATTGTTCCCACTCTTTGTTGGAAAAGATGCCCTCACAGGAGCCTCTCTTCATTCTCATCCTGGCCTCCATCTCTCTTCTGGGCCTTAACCTTATTTTGGCCTCCTGTATTGGTAACCATACTGGACTTTGCTCTCAGTTTTCTCCCCCACCTTGAAAGCCTTCTCTTGCTTACTCTGTGCACTTGGCCAGCCACCAGCCAGCCACCTACTAGACTGCTTACGAGTCAGTGCTTTTATAAGTCATTCCTGGGGTTCTCCTGTCCACTGAAATTGCTGATGGGCTGACTTCTGCAGGTGTTAGTCTTGGACTCTGTATCAGCCACCTTCTGTCTGCCTTCAGCCAGACAGAACCACACTGTTAAGAGATTAGAGAGGGACTTGGGGTGGGGAGGAGAAAGAGTGTGAGGATTTCTTTTCCTCCTCCCAAGAGGGAGGGCAGATATGGTCTACCAAGCAAACGGAGAAGAATAAAAGAAGAGTTTTCTATACCCCTTCTCTACCAGGGAGAAGAATTGGAAGTGTCAGTTTTTATACCATTTTCTTCTCCCTTACCATCTTCCTTTCAGAATTTGAGGCCAAGGTTTTGCCCTTTTTGCCTCTGGCATTTAGTAAAGTGGATACTTGTTCTTACCAGAAACAACATCCATGCTTTGCTGGTAAATGAGTGGAACTGGAAAATAGCATGCTAGTGAAATAAGCCAGTCCCCCCAAACCAAAGGTCGAACGTTCTCTCTGATATGTGGATTCTAACACATGATTAAGGCCTGGGGTGAGTGGTGGGGGGCAGTGAGAATCAAGTTCACTGGATTAGATAAAGGGGAATGAAAGGAAGGGAGAGGGGAGGAAACACAGTAGGACATAACTTTCCTATGTTCATATGTAAATACATGACCAGTGTAACTCCATGTCATGTACAACCACAAAAATGGGAAGTTATACTCCATGTGTGTATAATATGTACAAATACACTCTACTGTCATATAAAGCTAAGAAGGACAAATTTTTAAAAAGCTTATATATTTATGTGCCAAGAGAGATCTTGTTTCAGGAATATGTATCCACAAGACATAGCATATATTGTTTAATACTAAAACACAGAAGGAAAAATAAACAAACATTCTCTTAAAAAAAAAAAAAATCTGTCCTCTGCCAAGTTTTGCCCTGAGACTCGTGGTTGCTCCCACTGCCCTGGCAGTGCAATGAGGTTTCTGCTAGCATTTAGGAGATAGGGTGTTGCCCAGGTTCTAAATGGAGTACTAATCAAAGAAGCCTGGAGTCTGTGTTGTGCCATGTCTACAGCAGGCTCTTAACAAAGTGTAGTGAATAAATAAGCAAATTCCTACCCTGCCTAATTACCTTCTACTTCAGCATTTCTCCAGCTTCTCACCCCTGTGGGTTTTCTGCAGTAGGTCTCAACTCATTTTTTGTTCTACGTTCACTAGCTCTGCAGGCCAGGTTTCTGGTGTCCTAGAGTATGTCAGGAAAGGAGCAGGTACATTTCAGGCAAGGCTGTCCTCATCCTTATTGACTGCCACTCCTTCCCTGGGGCAGGACTGCCCATGTGGTAGGCCCCAGGCAAAAGTTTGACCTGATGACAAGGTAATGTTGGCTTCTTTCAGCATAATAATATTTATGCTCAATATTAAATAATTGCCATAAAAATCCTACTATAAATTTTGTCTTACTGCAATGTTAATCTCTCTTAATACCGTTATATTCTTCCTCCTGTATTACTTATGATGTAAGGTTGTCTACTCAATACATTAAAACTTCAGAGAAAACAATGCCAAGACCTCATTTTTGGGGTGTGTGTGGGAGATACCAGGGATTGAACTTGGGGTCACTCAACCACTAAGCCACATCCCCAGCCCTATTGTGTATTTTATTTAGAGACAGGGTCTCACTGAGTTGCTTAACACCTCACCTTTGCTGAGGCTGGCTTTGAACTCGTGATCCTCCAGCCTCAGCCTCCCGAGCTGCTGGGATTACAGATGTGCACCACCATACCAGTATTGCCTCATTATTTTGTTCAGCAAGTCTTTGAGTTATTTTTCAAAGGAGCAGCAGAATTCATCTGGAATATCCTGAAGGTATCAAGTGTGGAACTACATTTGCATAATACATTTTTTTATTCTTTTCAGAAAGTTTCAAGAAATGCAAAAGGTCTGGGTCTTGCACATCTAACTACATTTGAATGATAAATATTTTTGTTTCTTTTCAAGAGAATTCAAGAGATCCAAAAGGGTGTATCTACCTTAATTTACCAAAGGGGGTCTCCTGTAAATTCTTCAGATAGTCATCAAGAGTCCCTTCTGGTTCTATCTGTTAAAAATCTACCAAAAAAAAAAAAAATTACTTCAGAATCTGGCAGTATAAGGAGGCTTACATGTTCTCGTTTACACTTTCTTTTTTTTAGGAAGCACTGAAAATTTTTAATACCAATAGTCTGGCTAAGTATTTGAAAGCAGTTGAAGAACTGAAACTTAACGTTCCTGAGGATGTAAAGCTGTCTTTGGAAGAGAAGAGGCGGGAAGCCTGTGCCAAATGGGAGGTGAGGACCCACATATGCTTCTGGTCTGGTCCTGGGTCTCTGTCATTGGTCATTCCTGGGGTTCCCCTATCTACTGCATATTGCAGATGGACTGGCTCCTACAGGTGCTGGTCCCGGGCTCTGCATCTGCTGCCTTCTGTTCTTGTCTGCCTTTGCCAGTGACCACACTGTTAAAAGATTAGAGAGCACCTGGAGCAGGAGGAGAGGGAGAGTGTGAAGGAGTTCTTCCTGTCCTTCGCTTGGGCATGGCCTCTGGCAGCAGCAATGTCTTCTTCTGCTCTGGACCCTATGGCTCCAGCATCTGATGGATGTCTCTCCTCCCTGGGTACCACAGAAGCCTGTAACCTGCAGAGGTAGCAGCTTCCTGCCGTTGCTCATCTCTGAATTGCCTGACTGTCCCATTTGAGCTTTAGTGTGATCAATTTCCGGCATTCGTATTCCCAGAGTTAAATATTTAGAGTGTTTTCTGGTTTCCTGGTTGGATCCTGACTGAGACGGTGCATTAACATGTCCTTGGACAGAGTTTCATAGTGAAATAGGCCTAGGTGTCGGTGGCAGACAAACCTGGATTCCGAAGATATGACCCTGGATAAGTTTCTCAACTCTTAGGAACTTTGCTGAAAAAATGAGAAAAACATGATCTACTTGGCAGGATTATTGCCAAGATTTATATAAAGAATCTGCCACAGAGATTGTGTTCAATCAATAGTGATTAATGTTACAAATGTGTGTGTGTGTATATTTAACCTGTGCAGTTGACTCTTCACCCCTGGATTCAACCAACCATGGGTCAGAAATATTTGAGAAAAACAACTGCACCTATACCAAACATGTACAGCCTTTTTTTTTTCATTATTCCCTAGGTAATAACAGCATAACAACTATTTACATAGCACTTACATTGTATTAGGCATCATAAGTAATCTAGAAATGACTTACAGCACATGGGAGGATGTGCATAGATTGTATGCAGATATGACATCATTTTATATAAGGGAATTAAGCATCCTTAGATTTTGATATCCATGGTGGAGGAAGGGATGGAATCAGTCCCATGTGGATAACTGAATTGACTAGCTACTGTGAAAGGTTTTCCTAAAACACATTTGATTTGATTTATTTCTTTTTGAGCCAGGTTTTTGCTATGTTGCCCAGGCTTTCCTTGAACTCACAATCTTCCTCCCTCAGCTTTGCAAGTAACTGGGATTATAGACCACACCCAGCTTCTACAGCATATTTTAAAATAAACTTTTATTTTAGAATAGTTTTAGATTTTTTTTTTTGTACAGGGATCAAACTCAAAGGGACTCAACCACTGAGTCACATCCTCAGCCCTATTTTGTATTTTATTTAGAGACAGTGTCTCACTGAGTTGCTTACCACCTCGCTTTTTGCTGAGGCTGGTTTTGAACATGTGATCCTCCTGTCTCAGCCTCCCGAGCCACTAGGATTACATGCCACCGCACCCAGCTTAGAATGGTTTTAGATTTGAAGAATTGGGGGGTGGGGGTGGGTTGTAGCTCAGAGGTAGAGCGCTTGCCTAGCATGCATAAGGCATTGCGTTTGATCCTCAGCACCACAGAAAATGAATTAAAGATATTGTGTCCACCTACAACTAAAAAAATTTAAAAACAAAAAAGAATTATTACAGACATGGTTCAGAGAGTTCCGGTAGGCTCCACACTGGGGTTCCTTTCTTATTAACATATTATTAGAGTACGTGGTTATAATTAATGGGTTATTATTGATACATTATGATTGACTAAAGTTTGTACTTTATTCAGATTTCCACAGTTTCTGCCTAATGTTTGTTTTGTCTGTTTCAGGATTCCATCCAGTATACACATAGCATTTTTTGTTATGTCTCCTTAGGCTTAGATATGTGTTTTGCATATATTTTCTCCCAGTCTGTAGCTTGTCTTTCTTTCTTTTAACAGCGTCTTTCACAGCTAAAACACATTTTCAGTTGTTAGGAAAAAAAAATTAGAAAAACAATTTTAGTTGTCAGGAAGAAAAAAATATGTTTATGGGTTTTTAAAACATTCTCCCAAAGATACACAGATGAGTCAGAATGTAGTTTAAGTTCTATCTCTTTTTGTTACTCTAAATATTTTTGTCACTACAAATAGTTTTCAAGTATTCTGTTCCCATGATTAATATGTTCTTTTGTCTTTTTCAGTCTCTTCATCAAGAAATTTCTTTGTATATTCAGCAACTAAAAATAGATATTGAGAAAGGAAAACTTAACGACAACATTTCCAAGCTTGAAAAGCAAATAAATAAAGAAAAGAAACTTATTCGTAGAGGAAAGACCAAGGGTCTCATCAAAGAACATGAGGTAAAACTACCTGTTTCCACTGAAATCTTGTCATCCTTTTGTAGTTTATCCTAAATCATTGTATGTGGCCAGGATTAAATCTGCTCTGCAAATAACTTCAGCCCTTATGTCCCCTGGGGGTGCCACTTACATAACTCAAGTGCTAACTGCAGCCTGTACTTTTTAGTTTTTAGAAGTGAAAAAATCCAGCATTGAGTTCTTATTTCATGATTTTTCTGGATGTGCCTCCGTGTCCCCTATCCTGAGACTCTGGTCACAACTGTGTCTGCTGTTGCTGAAGTCCCCACAGATGCTTTTGTCAGGACATGGTGTCCCCAGAAGTGCAGCTTTTGTGAAAATGGGCCTATCACAATATAAAGCAAATTGAGGAAGATCTGGTGATCTTTTTGGTTTCTATCCTTTTGGGTTGCTTTTATGAATTTGATAGTACTGACCCCCCTCTTTTCATTTCTCTTTTTAACAGCTTGCTGTTGGATTCTCCCAATATCAGTCTCTGTTGCACAGACTGGACTTTAGGCGGGGGTAGGGAGTCTTTTTAGTGCTCTTTAGAAATTTCCCTTTTTTCTTCTATTCCTGTTTTGGGTTTTTACAGGATATGTTGGAGGCCCTCCATTTTTGGCTAATTTCATCCTTCTTCCGGGCAATTTCTTGCATTCAGGGGTTATAACTGCCTTCTTTGCAATGACAATGCCTAGGTCTTTATCTCCAGTGGTATCCTTTCCTCTGAGCTCCATGCTATACATTTTTTTTCTTTTTTTAATCATAAATACTAACTCATATTAATTATATAAATTAATGGCTGTCACTGTGACAGTTCCATACAATACTGTATTTCTGACTAGAAGGTATCGCTAGTGCTCTTCAGGGACCTCAAATCAGCGTGTCCACTACTGAACCAGTACTCTCCAACTTTTGCTCCTCTCCTCTGTTCTGCATCTTGGTTATGAAAGGTGTTGCTGTCCCAGAGCGCCCTTCCTCTGCTTTCCCCCTTCTTCCCATTCAGCCTTCCCTCTGCACGTCTTTGTCAGTGGCCAAACTCCACGTGGTCCCCTTCAGAACAGCCTCTCCTTCCCTTCCTTCCCATCAGTGTTGCCATGGTAGCAGGGTATTGACTGCATCACCTTTTATAAGCACCACCAGAATTAGCCTTTTGAGCCACAGATAATATTTTGCTGGCTCCCTGTGACCCCCCAGGACAACTCCTTAGAAGCCCTCTCAGTTTTGTACTCTCTGGCCCCAGAACACCCCTGTAGTGTCCCTCCTCCTGTGCCCTCCCCTTGTACTTAGTGCGTCTTTATTCCTTCCTCATCCAGCTCACATGGTTGTGAGGCAGACTTTCCATGACTCCTTTTTTATTGGTACCAGGGCTGGAACCCAGGGTCCCTTAACCACTGAGCCATATCCCCAGCCCCCACCCCTTTAAAAATGTCTTATTAGAGGTAGCATCTTACTGAGTTGCTTAGGGCCTCACTGAGTTGCTGAGCTGGGTTTGAACTCGAGATCCTCCTGCCTCAGCCTCCCAATTGGCTTTTCCATGACTTCTTAAGGCAGGGAGTGTCTCTCTCACAGTACTTGACACTATGTGCTAATTAATGTCTTGTTTCTGAGTTGCAGATTCCTGTAGGGCTGACATTCTTATCTTTTTCCCAGTGTCTGTTATCATACAGAGCCCACAGTAGCTGGACTGTGAAAGAACACGTTGTTAAAGTCACACACATCTGTGAGTTTCTGATCCTTGTGGAATGTTTGTGCATACCCATCTCTCTCTCATTCCATCCGTTAGGCCTGCTTTTCTAAGGAAGTCATTGTGTGTCAGCTCCATCACCATGTGGATGTCCTGAAGGCGCTGTGTGAAGAGCTGACTTCGCAGGAGCATCAGCAAGAAGTGCAGAGAGTGCTCAAAGATTATGAGCAAAAGATAGAAAGACTTCTGAAATGTGCTTCTGAGATCCATGTGACTCTGCTGGCCCCCATGGGGGGCACATCAAAAGACGAGTTAGAACTTCCGAAGAGTAGCCAGGCTTTGGGGTAAAACTGAACGAAGCCTTTTGCATAATCAGATGGCACCGAGAGTTGTTCATTCTCTTTTGGGTTCCCTTTTTCTCACTCTGTTGTAATACCCAGTCTCAATTCCTTCCTAGGGAAACGGTGACCACAGCTGAGAATGGCGGAAAGGGTTTCCACAGTGAGGTGCCATTTGCCAAACCTGATAATCAGCTGTCGACTGAAAAGGTGTTAAATGTGGATAATCTGTTGTAGAATTAAACTCATTGTAAAAAGCAAAATGTAAAACAATCCACTTCTCATTAATTAAGCTTTGGTTTAATGATCTGATTGTTTTCATCAACTAAGAATCCCCACTTACCCAAATGCAAGGAAGACTGCTTTTCAAGAATTAGCCTGCAGTGCACCAAAGCTGTAGTGAGCACAACCTAATCTAGCTGTGAGGATGCAACCAATTGTTCCTAGCAGAGGCCACTTTGAGTCACTGTGAAGCGAGGTCATCTGTGTCCATTGGTCCATTGCTGTTGAGGAAGAGAGTGAGCTTGGTCTGCACAGAAGCTTCTATTTCATTGAAATGAACTATTTCATTTATCATTTGTCTTCTCATTGTAATTTGTTTCATTTTCCTTGAGAATCGAATTTTCTGAATTCTTCAAGTTAGATAAGTTGGCCTGTATGGAAGATCATAGGGAAGATCATATGGAAGATGTAGGGAAAAAACAAGGTAACATTTGTTTTGAAAAGTCTGCTTCTGTATCGCAGGCTTCTGTTTGCTTTTGACTGTGGCCATGTGGTCTCAGTCAGAAACAACATTTAGAGGCTGGTAGCATTCATTCAGTGATAAGAAGCGATTAGAAGGCTAATACCTCTCCTCGATCCTATGGGAGGACTTTTTTCTGAGCTGAGAAATCTCAGAGAAATTGTATTATTTCCTGATTTGGGATATTAAAAAATCAGTGATACTTCTTGGAGCATAAAACATTTAGCTTTCCAGATACTTAAGTGTGTTTAAGATATTGTGTTACTCATGTTTTACATATTTGCTTAGGCAGTGGAACCTGTTGAGAATTTTAGCCTGACATCAGAGTTAAAACTCCAACAACAAGAAAGCATTATGGAGCAGCCAGAAGAAGATCACAGTGCATCTAAAAATAGATTACAAAAGAGGTAACCTCTTTTTAAACAGCTGGAAAGTCCACCAAAAATCTTTCATTGAGAACATGTAAAAAAAAAATGATTCTTTAGTTGTAATTTTTGCATACCGTCCACTAACTTAAACAGGACTTCCTTGGAATTTCCTCATGCACCAATGACAGTAACTTAAAAAATTTTGGGTTCAATTTTTAAAAGTTAAGTAATATTGCCAGGCATGGTGGTGTATACCTGTTATCCTAGTGGCTTGGGAGGTTGAGGCAGAAGGATGGCGAGTTTAAAACTAGCATCAGCAAAGGTGAGGTTCTAAGCAACTCAGTGAGACCCTGTCTCTAAATAAATATGAAATAGGGCTGGGGATGTGGCTCAGTGGTTGAGTGCCCTTGAGTTCAATCCCTAGTGGTACTAATACTACTACTACTACTACTACTAATAATAATAAAATAAAATTAAGTAATGTTGCATTTAATTTTTTCCCCCAGGTATGATACACACAAAGAGATTCTTGAACTACATCTGCAAAACAACAAATTTAGGATTACTTCTGATTTCTCTAGTGAAAAGGAAATGAGTAGTGCTAATCTGCAGAATAAACTAACAGATTTACAGGTAACACCCACAAATATGATTTCTCTGGTTATATCTTTTAATACAAACAATACCACCATGAGTATGGATGGCACTGTTTTTGTTGAGGTCACATAAGCAAGGTGTTTCCAAAGACCTGTTTGTTGGATTGCATTTTCAATGTCACCCTATTCTGTAAAATGATTTGTTTTCAGGAATTATATCAGGAAAGACTTTGTTCGGGGTCTTGATTTATTGCTTCTGCTTTAATCTTATACTCCAGATATTATGGCTCATAAAATTTTTGACTATAGTTGGAGCTTTCAGTGAATTGGCCAAAAACAGTGTGTTTAAGGGCAATTTCAACCTACTTATGTGCTGTTCCAAAATGAGTGAACTAGCAACTAAATATTCATTTCAGTTGTTCATCTTCTCAACCAAATTGTCACATTGTCTAAAATTGCTGCAGTGTAAACCAATTGTTGACTGTGGGATGTTGTGCAGTGAGGGATAGGCAGTGGAGGGAGTTTTCACTTTAAATTATGAATCATATTCGTAGAAAGACTTCAGAGAAGGTGTTGCACTTGACTCAGATGTGGCAGAAAACACAGTCTGTTAGAGGTAGTCACACAAATTGTAACCCCTGCAAATAAATAAATTATTTTGGAGATCATCTGTTACATTGTAGTGTAACCTTGTACACCGGCTGGTGGAACCCCTGCAACAGGTGAAGAAAGAGCCACAGGTGGGCCCTACAAGGTTGACCTCCATTTTCTAGTTCTCTTCCTCTTATTATGCCAGCTCACAGACACTTTGTTGGTCTCTCAAGTAGGATTTCTTAAATGTTGCCTTTGTTGGTGGGGAAGAACTGAGATAGCAAACAAGAATAGTATAGACTTATAGATGTTTGATCATAAACCATAAATGAACTTTATGCACTTATGTGTGCAGAAACATTTGTGGTTAACTCCAATTTTCTTCCACTTTAGAAGGTAACAGAGATTTACTAGCCAGAGGAGATTGCATATCTGTTATTACATCTACATATGTCCTTCTGAATTGTGTTCTGTGTATCCGTCTTAGAGGAGGGGAGACACCTTTGAAATCCATATTGTCTATTCCTTTCACTTCATTGACTGGGTCTTCTGAGAGCACAGTTAATATCTCTTCCCCACAGGACAGTTCATTTGTAATTGGTTGGAAAATATTTTAAGGCACATTTTGATGTGAAACATTGTGCTTGCTCCCACTGTTGGTAAATATCTCATTTTGTAAGAATATTATAATTGTGCCTATTAACCTTTCATTGATAAATTAACTTATGTATTTTATCAAGGTCTTAAAAAATGAAACTAATGCTTGCTGGAAAGAGTTTGAAAGCACTTCATTGGAGTTAGAAAGCCTCATGAATGACACGGAGAAGCCTCTTATAGTTAAGGAGAGAGACAGGTTAAAGGAAAAAGAAAATGAGCTTCAAATGACTCTTAATACCAGGTATAATTCTGAGATCTACTAACCATGAATTTAATAAGTCCAAAGCTTTTAAAAGTAATGTTAAGCAAGACTATTACTATGCTAAATATGTTATCTTATTTGGTCATCATAACCAGAAGAGAGATTAGCATTGTTGTGTCAGAAAGCTTTCTATTGCTGTGACAAATTCCTGAGATAAATTAGCTTAAGAAAGGAAAAGGTTTCAGTCCATTGTTACTCAGCCTTATTGCTTTGGGCCTGTGGAAGCACAGTGCATCATGGTAGGAGTATGGGGCAGAGAAGGCCTATTTACTTCTTTGTGGCCAAGAAACAAAAGAAAGACACAAAGGGGTTGGGGCCTCAGTATCCCCTCAAGGGCACACCCCTAATGAAACTCATTTTCACTAGGTCGTCCTAAAGGTTCCACCACTTCCCAATAGCACCAGGATGAGAATCAAGCATTAATTCATGGGCCTGTGGGGGAAATTTTCAGATCCAAACTATGGCAGTTATGATTGACATTTTCCAGATAAAGAAACATACTTGAAGAGGTTCAATAATGTAACCAAGTCATACCACTAGCCAGAGACTTAAGATAGCACTTACGTCTTTGTAGTTCCAAAGGCCATGCTCTTCCCACTGTCTTTCCTTGGGCATGAATTTGGCTAGGTCACATAACCTCTGATGCCCAGTGACTTTTTCATTTCTAAAATGAGAGTGCTTTATTATCCCATATACATAGGGTTTGTGTTCCCAGTATATATTCCCATTTTTTATAGGAAGCAACTGAGGCTCAGAGTCTGTTATTTATCCACAGTCACATTTCAGTTCTTTATCAAAAGAGCCTATTTGTTGAACATCATTATATTCCTATATTTTTAATATGGATTGTTGGAAGCCACGTAATATTTTTGATATGGAGATATATATATATCTATATATATAATTATCTACAAGTATGATTAAGTGGTGAGGAGCTTTCTTCATCATCAAGTCAGAGTATATTCAAGTTTTTGCATTTCCAAAGAGAAGGAAATGCATAGTATGTTTAACAAATTTCCATCTGTGTGGTATCTATTAAACCATTAGAATGCTTGGATATCTGGACACAGAGAAGTCATTAATAATGATATCAAAATAGCAGAAGTGAGCTGGAGTTGCTCTCAGCCAAAGGGAGCATAGTTAACCTAGGTCTGGTGTCCCTTACTAAATGAAGGTTTGGGGAATGAATGAATCAATGGATGAATGCATAGTGGGGAAAAAAGAATACTTGAATATAGCAAATGACTCTTTTTTTTTTTTTTTTTACATTTTGGATCTGTGGGTTTGGGTTTTCATATGATGATTTGTACATATCATTAACTATATTTTGGAGGGTAACTATTTCCTGTTCTTGGTTAAATAATGGAGTTAATGTGTTTTCATAGGATAGCTGTCTGCTCTTTCCCTCATGTCTGGTTTATTTTTTCATCCAGAGTGGAGTCTTTGGAGATGGCACTGCAGGTCTTATTACCAGTGGAGAAAGAGTCACTCTTCCTGTGTGGCTCAGACCTATTTCCCTGTCAAGTGGCCATCCAGGAATTTCATCTCGTGGACACTGATGGCATTTATCAAAACTTGAGGGTACATAATTTCATACAGTATATTTATCAAATAATCAGTTCTTCAGAGATTTATAGATATGTGTGAATTTTTAATTGTTTATCCTAGTGTAGATTTGGAATAAGCTATGATAGAATATAAGTCAATGATTTGAACTTGTTCTTTATTTCTCAAACTTCCAATTTCTTGCACATTTGGAGATAGGTAACATGGACTAAATAATAGGACATTTTCTTTGAATTCAAAATAAGCCTTCTTTATGAATGCCTTCTTCAATGACTGAATCTCCCAAATATTTCACTAGCCTCACAGACTTAACTCAATTGGCAGTTTACTTATTCCAGATCCTGTCTTAAATCAAAGATATTTGTTTTGTTTTTCAGATTGTAAAATATATGTATCTCAACTCTTCATCTCCAGTTCCTTGCTTTGACACAATAGATTAGTCTACTTATTTTCTTTTTTTTTTTTTGAGGTTTGGAAAATCTGAAAGGGTATCAGCAGAAGAAACAGCTGGGTCAACTGTAATTCAAATGTTTCCTTATGATAAAACTGTCATCTTTGGTTAAACTCAGAAGTATTTTTCTAGATCCAATCTAGTCATGCGATTGGGATTAGTTTCTGACATGCAGTTTTCTTTTTCCTGCCTCAGTCTTCTTAGCTTTCAATTTTTTTATTTTAGAATATCCAAGATTCCATAGCCAAACAGATTAAAGTATGTACCAGTTTAGAAGAGCCTGACAACGTTGTATTAAAGGATTTACACCCACTTGATCAACACGCAACCCGGAACATTATACAGAAATGCAAAACACAGCTTGAAGAAATGAACCACAAGGTGCGAATGCGCCAAGAGGTCCTGAAAGCTCTGGGAGAGTTTATAGATTCTGTAAGAACAGTTAAGCTCTCTGTTGATCTTGTTACCGACCTTTCAGCTTCAGATGCACCGGTAGCCCCAGAAAATACTTTGACAGTGAAAAATATCAAGAGAGAAATTCGTCTGATGAGAGACAAGGCTAGGCATTTGGATGAACGTTTGAAGATGCTTGATATAAGCTTTGAAGATGCAGACCTAGGTGAAGACACTTCCTGTAAAAAACTTCTTGATGCCCTAACAATGAAGTTATTCGAGACACGTATCTGTGACACACAGGAAGCATTTGCTGAGGAAATCAATTTAGTAGAGACTTGTACTTCCAAAAATGCGGAACTCTTTAAAAATATTCAAGACATGCAAAATCAGATCGGTAAAATTGGTCTTAAGGATCCTACTGTTCCAGCCGTAAAACATCGGTAAGGGCTATGCTGTTTCCATCCAAGGTGATACTTTCCAAATATCTATTATGTGAAACAAATACTTCTGTTTCTTTCCGTTTTTATTCCATCCTGCTCTCTCTGTTCAGTGTTCGGTATTCTTTTCAGTCCTTTTCATGTGAGCAAGCTTTCATTTTCTTGATATAATGCCTTTACAGAATGTTAGATAATTTTCTTCTCTTTGAGGTGTGTCTTCTGGACAGAGGAGTGGCAAAGTAAATATAGTGTAAAGGACTGCGTTACTTCAAAGTCCCTTGCTCTTCTGTGTGCTTATTATGGAATTCTGTCAAGGACAGAAGACTGGCAAACCCCACACATCTGATAGGAAAGGGAGAAGTGGTGGAAGATGCACATGCCTTCCTTGGCTAGTTGGTCTTCTCCTCTTCCCCCAATAGGATTAGGGTGGTACTGAGAGGGAGGCCATGGGGCTGAATTTAAGAGGAAAGCTAATATTGGTGTTAATTGTGGAGCCTGAGCAGAACTGGTGTCGATTGCAGCCTTCTGCATATGTGCTGTTTTCATTCTGGCATTCAGAGGATGTCCTCCAGGTCCTGAAAGCTAAAATGTTAGGAAGACTCACCTTCTGTAGCACTTCCCTCTTCTTTTTAAATCTCCCACACTCTCTCTAGTTTCTCAAGGTCAATGGTCTCATGGAGGTCGTCAGCTGACCTGTCACCATATTAGTTTTCCATCTGTATGACTCAGATACCTGACAAGAACAATTTAGAGGAGGACAAGTTTTATTTGGGGTTCATGGTTTTAGAGGCTCAGTCCAAGGTCAATTGACTCCATTGCACTGGGCCCAAGGTAATGCTGGAACGTCACGGCAGAGGACAGGGGGAAAGAAGGATGCTCAACTCATGACAGGAAGGAAGCAAAAAGAGAGCAGGAGGAATAAAGAACAAAATAGATAATGCCCCTGGCATCCTTCTAGGGACCCGCTTTTTCTAGCCATGACCTCCCTACTTACAGTTTTACCATGCAGTACAGTAATCCTTTCAAATTATTAATCCACCAAATGGGTTAATCCACGATGAGGTCACAGCTCTCATATTCTAATCATATCACACTTCTGCATTGTCTCACTCATGAACTTTTTGGGGAACACTTCATATCCAAACCCCATCAGTCAGTATAACTAAGTGTGCTCTTCAGTCTGAAAATGTTCCCGGCCTTCAGTCCCAAGAGATTTTCCTAAGGGACCTCAGTTCATAAGAAGGTGTTATACTAATTATTACACAGTTATTATTTTTTAAAAGTATAATGATAGATTGTAGTAATAAATATTAATGTATAAATAAAAAACCATACGTGTATGAGTAATAAATTACTTTGTTAATGTAGCTCTTAGTAGAGCAAATATGTACGGTGTGCCAGGTACTGTTTTAGGTATTGGGAATGCAGCAGTTAACAAAATAAAAAAAAATTCTTGCCCTTTGTAAAACTTATTATCTAGTGAGAGGAATAAGATGTTTACGACATCTGGTGTTGATAAAACCTATGGAGAAAAACTAGGGAAGGGGGAGGAGGTTGCAATTCAATAGGATCATCGAGGAAGGCTTTACTGAGAAGGCCATCTTTGAGTCAAATGAGATGCAAAAGCAAGCCATGTGACCACCTGGAGGAAGAGCCTGCTAGGCTGAGGGAGCAGTGGATACAAAGGTCAGGTGTGTTTGAGGAGAGGCAAGGAGATGAAAAGGTGCAGCAGTCAGGGGAAGAGGTAGGAAAAGGGGGTCAGAGATGGCATGGGTGGATGAGACTTAGCTCAGGTAGGGACTTGTGGGCCATGTGATGACTTTGGCTCTTTCTTTGAGTGATATAAGATGGCATTGAACCGCTCTAGGCAGAGGGAAATGATTTTATTTGAACCATAACTGGTTCTCTCTGGTTGATAGGTTCAGAATAGACTGTAGCAGTTGAGAAGACATTATCCAAGTAAGGGATGATGGTAGCTGTCATAAAGGGGTAAGATTCTGTATATATTTTGAAGACAGAGTCCACAAGGTGTGTTGATACATTTGGGCATAGACACTAAAAGAAAGTTTAGAGTCAAGAATGATTCCAAGGTGTGACTGGAGCAGCTAGAAGAATGGCATTAACAGATGAGAAAGACTGATGTTTATCAGGTATTGAATGGAAGATCAGATGTGCTCAGTTTCAGAGATGATAGGTTCAAAGTCTTTATTCAACATTCAAGTGGTAATCTCTTGGCTCTTAAAAAATAGATGGTGTCAGGAAAAAGGTGCAGCTAGAAGCATACATTTGAGAGTTTTCAGGATTTTAGAATGTATCAATAAAGCCATGAGATGGAATGAGGGTGCTGAGGAAGAGACAAGAGGTCCAAGTTGTATATACTCCAGGCCACCCACATTAGGATATCAGGGCAATGAGGAGGAACTGGGGCAGATACTGAGACGGAGCAGTCGGTGTAGTGGGAGGAAAACCAACTGGGTCCTGGGAGCCATTGAAGAAAGCATTTCACCAAGGAGAGTGAGCAATCCTGGAAAGTGCTGCTGACCAGTGAAGGAAGGTGAGGGCTGAGGAGCTCAGATTCCCCAGTTTGAGGTGCTCTTCACAGCAGTTTTGATGGAGCAGTAGGAGGTGAAAGTCTTATGGGAGTAGATTCAAGAGAGTGTTGGAGGAGAGGAAGTAGCTTCAGATGAATGGAGTAAATCCCTCTGGGATTAGTTTACAGGTTAAACCCTTAGTTAAATGTCTCCTATTTGATATGGAAGAGCTTTTTTGTACATAGAGTAGAGCTGAAAGATTTCCTTACCCTTTCTTTTGTCTTTGGCCACTCCCACCCTTCTTATCAACCATGCAGTATTCAGTCATCCACGTCTTCTTGCCATACCATGCCATCTTTCCCACACACCCGCACACTACACTCTTTCTCATATGCATTAGTATACCTTTTGCATATGTGTTCATCACAGAAAAAATATTACTGCTTATGATTTTGTATATTTATTATATTTATTTAAAACATTAAATTAGTATTCTGGAAATGCAAAGAGTTGCCTGTAGTCTGTAATAGGAATATGTAGTTTGGGCATTGGTCTCATGAGGAGAAATGGAAAGTGAGTGTATCCTCTGCCCCCATTAACCATATTTGTGTGGAACTCAGTTGGTTAACAATTGGTTAATAAACTTTTTTCTCATCCATAATCAAGGAAAAAATTATTACTTAAACTGGAGAAGGATATAGATGGGTATGAAGAAGAGAAGATACACTTGGAAGAAATGGTTGATTCTCTCCCACAATTCAAAGATGGCAGAGAAAAACCTCTGATTCAACAGTGCCAAACTACCCTGCTCTTGTGGGAAAATACAAAAACATCCATTGCTGAATGGTAAGGGAAAAGAAATCCCTCCTGCATCTGTACACAATTAATGTTTTGAAATGTCATGTTGAAAACGCACCCTGTAGACCTGACAGAGGGGCAGACAGAACTCACAGGGCCATGTTTGTGATGTGGTTCTGGCAACTTCTAACAATGGCCTTCTGTGACTGCGGCCACGTCCCGCTATTTTTCCTTGGGGCATGCGTCCTGACGGGTTTGGTTTGGGAAATGCCTGGATACCTGAGCCTCCCTGATGGCTCTCTGAATTCTGCTGCCTCTCGGTGGCCCTTTCTGAACCCTCTTCTCAGGATCCCACCCATGTCTTACCAGAACCCACGTATACAGGAGTCAAGAGAGTCAAGATACAGTCTCTTCATGGCGTTTGGTCTAGTTCACCCTCTGACTTTACAGAGGAAAGATCTGAGGTCCAAAGAGACTAAAGTAACTTTTCCAGAGTCATATGACAAATCAGCCACACTAGATACCAAGCAACTCACTGTATAGCTTTACTTTTTTATCTCCAAGAATGATGATGAAATTAAGATGCTGGTTTTATAGGGTTATAAATCATGTATTCATATTATTTATTTATTAACCTTTACATAATGATCTTGTGACAATACTAACACAGTGATGGTTTTATACCATCTGTTTTGCCAGGTTAATATATGTGACATCATTCCTGAGTTGTACTGGTAAAACAATGTTATGAACTGGATTGAGAGGGAAAGTCATTTTTTAACTTTTATTACTCATTATTGTAAGATACTTACTTACAAAGAGAAACTGGTTTTGTTATTTTCATACATTTTTTTTTCTTTCCAGTCTTGATCAATGTGGAAGAGTTTTGGAGCTCTTAAAACAATATCAGAATTTTAAAGGTATCTTGACAACTTTGATTCAGAAAGAAGAGAATGTCATCTCCCTGCAGTCTTCCTACATGGGAAAGGAGAACCTGAAGAAAAGGAT